TGATACCCACGAAATTATACTACTTGCCGGTTGACAGTAGATTATGGTCAAAGGGATTAAATGTGGAGCCATTAGTAAAAGAATTTAAGTCACCAGCTCGATTTCATCAAACCGTAATCACTATTGCTACTGTTCTGTACTTTATGCCCTCTCTCATTACAGGCCGAAAGGTTCAACATTCAACGAAGACCTGTTTCTCACTCCAGTTGCTCAGCTTACAAGCTTACCAGCCACTGGATCCACCTACAAAGTGAACCTGATTGCCTATGCAGGCCAATTCGAGAGCACAGCCTGGCTAGTGGGGCCCACACCTTTCTCGAGCCAGTCACAGTCGAGCTCCAGCACTGAACCAGCCTCCCTGAGCCTGATTACAGGCAACACCTTCCTCTACCAGCGCCTGCGCACCTACCACGTCCGTGTTCGCAGTATCCGCAACCCGACGGAGACTACTTTCGGGGACGTCTATAGTGATGTGGTGCTTACATTTAGTCTGATCGACACAAACAATATGATACCCACATTCATAGATCAGCGTCTCCTCAGCAGCATCACACTTCCTGAGAATAGTCCGTTGAACACGGTGGTCTTGACGTTGTATGCCGTGGACACAGACACTACTCCAGTGGAATTTAGGACGGTAGGCATTGGGAAATATTGTATTACATAACCTCGCCTTTTACCAACTTTGATTCTGGTCTTCACCAGACTATTGGAGATCCCATTTTATTGATAAAATAACATGATATGCTCGGAAATCTGTTCATTTAATATGCCTAAAGATCAAACTTTCCAGAGAGAAAAAATATCAATTCACAACACAATTGTGTGCCTATATCTTTATCCCATTTGATAGAGTTGTCCCTTTTTGATACACCTTTGGCGTTTCCAAAAGTTATTTGTAAAGAGTAAGTTTTCTGAGCTATTAATAGATCCTGAACAAAAAAGGTAATCATCTAGATCGCTTAAAATGATGAAGGAGTGATAAGGGGATTTCTTACAATACCATGTATAGGCCTCACAATGTCAATAAATTCCACTTGGCCTTGCCTTCCAGAAGATATTCCGATCCAGGTTGGAAGGCAGTTTTGAGCTCGCCTGGATCTCACCGGCACCCTCAAAGGTAGTACATGCCACTGCTACGCAACAGTGCCGCAGGTGCCACTGAGTCAAAGTGAAGACGTGACTTCTTAAGGCAAAGCATTTATGAACAGTTTCTCATCACCTTAAACGATATGTAGTGACCTCGGTTCTTATTCAGGGACTTCTAATAGTCTTGAAACCCTACTGATTACGAACACAAGTCATGCTATAAACTAAAGTGGCAAAAAATATTTGCTTTATTTACAATCCCATTACGAAATGTGATATGGAAGAGGCCTGGATTTACTTAAAAATCACATTTACGCTTTGATCGAGTTGCACATGTGGCAGTGCGGCATTGTGGCAACGTGTCCAAACTGAACGCTTCATTATCCGGATTCGAATCCTTTTCGGAGTGTCGACAAGACCCATGCGAGGCCTACAGTGCAGTCCATTCTGAATGATAATACCTTTTAGGAGGCATGGCTAAATTGATTTCAATGGCATTGTGAAGCCTATTCATATAATTGTGGGAAAATTCCTTGCCAGTCCAGGGTCTCTTTAAGTGTCTAGGGTGACTTAAGTTCTTGTTGAATAGCAGGGACTTATGTACCTAACCTCCATGGCCCCTATTCACAAAACATTTTGAAGCCAAGTGACATTATAATAGCTAAATTACACACTACAAAATCATTTCGGCTGTCACCCTTCTGCAAAGTTACAATCTAGTGGCCAGGATACTTGATTGCTGAGGAAATGGACAACGGAAAATCACCAGGATAAGAGTGTAACGAAGATGCGCTATCGCTGTATGACAATAAAGGAAGTTGAAAAATAAATTGACTAAAAGGAATAGAGGAGCAGTCAATGGTTTTCTGATACATTTAACTTTGTCCTGCGTTTATATGAGACTTAGATTGTGGTCTCGACCTTACTTGGATCCTAAGTGGGATTCGAGCCCGGGACAATACGCATGCTATGAAAGCCTTTTGGCATAAGCAAATGAACCTCGGACCAAAATTTCCCTGAATTTTTATATCAGAGATCACCTAAAGTTCCCCAATATGGAATGGTATAGAATGGGTTAGTATCTTCATTGAACATTTTTCTTTCTCTTTTCCCAGGTCACCTATACACTTTTGCCTGGAGCCGACTCGGCTGCTTTCAGGATACTTGGCAACAATCTAGTGACAGCCATATACCCTTTGGATCGCTCGATGAAAAGCACATATGTGATTACAATCCAAGCACAAGATGGTGCACCCTCCTCCCTCAGCTATAGAAATGGACAACCAAATATAGGTAAATATTGCTGAAATCAAACAGAAGATCAGGGTTAAAGTCGCGTCCTATGTTATTAGAGCCAAGCACTCAGAGTCCAAAACACCGTTGGAACTTAGCACTGGGTTTATAGAATACTATGACCTCATAGGATTTGCTATGTGTAAGACATATTCTTTTACAGTTGCTCTTAACTACTGTTAAACAAAGTTCATCGTTGAGGCGACTTTCATTTCGTATGAAAGTCCCCTCAACAATGTTATCTCAGGAGTTTCATCGATACCCAGTTTCTCTTCCTATCTACAAAGTTCATTGTGCCAAGTGCTGCCATGATTATTACGTGGGTATGAAATAAATTTTGTTCCGACGTTTCACAATAAGTTTTCTCTCAAGTTGAACTAATATA